TAAATAGTACAGATACCATTTGCCATGTCTTATGGTTGTTTAAGAATTTGAGTGTCAAAGAATTACATTACTTGCTCAAGGTGATGAAACACGTGTTAAGACACAAAAAGTAATTTTCTGACTCTAATTTAATGTTCATTTTTTACTCTACCTAGCAGAACTTTGACATACATTCCATCAATTTATAGCACTCTTTTCCAGTTATATCATATCATCAATCAGAGTCCCCTAGCACTTTCTTCACTGACATCATTGTGACTTGCGAGAAGCCTTCATACAAGAGTTTTCCTACCATTTGCCTTTGGTTTACTTTCTACTATGACCACTAATTATATAAAGATATGTTTTTTGTTTGTTTGTTTGTTTTCTGAGGCAGAGTTTCACTCTTGATGCCCAGGCTGGAGTGCAATGGCGTGATCTCGGCTCAAGGCAACCTCCAACTCCCAGGCTCCAGCAATTCTCCTGCCTCAGCCTCCAGAGTAGCTAGGATTACAGGTATACATGCCACACCTGTCTAATTTGTATTTTTAGTAGAGATGAGTTTCTCCACGTTGGTCAGGCTGGTCTCGAACTCCTAACCTCAGATGATCCACCTGCCTCGGCCTCCCAAAGTGGTGGGATTACAGACATGAGCCACCGCATCTGGCTGATACGTTCTTTTACTTTACAAAACCTGATTCACAAGATTTCCTCATTTATTACTCCAGAAAAAATGATTTTTACTTTGTGTATGGCAATCTAGCTTTACACAAAATTTACATTTAGTTTTCACTAGGTTATGAGTAAGTATCATGGAACAGGCCATATATAATCGAATTACTTATAATCACTTACTATCACAGTTTGTAAAGCTTTCAACATTTCCTTCCAAGCATTCCTTAACAGTCTTGTCTTCCTCATTTTGTAAAAACCTTCTTTTGTTTCTAACCTCCGGAATTCCAATCCTTTTTACTATCCTTTACATCCACTGCAAAGCGCTGATATGAGAGCCATCTAAAATCTCAGGTCCATACAATATTAGCAAATTTGGTTTTGAACCCTAGATCACCACCAACTGGATCTGAAATATTGTTTAAGCATTTGCTTTAATGCAATTTTAAATCATTCATTTAAAAAGTAGTTAATAAACTTTAATTTTTTCACATACATGTTTGGGTCACTCTTAATTCACATACTTGTTTTAAATACAAGGTGCTAATGTTTGTTTTCATGACCATTTGGCTGTAATTTTTATACAGAACCATATAGTACTAGGGTGAGGAGAATTTCAAAATTACTACTTCATTTTTGTACTTTAAGATGATTCATTAAAGTCAGATGATAATTTCATCTAAAATGGATTCCAGAAAACTACCATTCAAATTCTTCTTCAGTCATAGCTACGCTGCTGGTAGTTGAGGAAAAGAGGAAGGAGGAGGAGAAGGAGGAGGAGAAAGGCGGGGAGGAGGGGGAGAGGGAGAAGGAGAGTGAGGAGGAGGAGAAGGAGGAGGAGGAGGAGGAGAATGAGAAGAAAATAAATAGAAACACCTCACTTTACAGATTTCACTTTGGAACAGTAGAACACCTCATTCAGCTCTTTCTATACTCAGGGACTAGCACTTCCTGCTGAGTCATTTCTCCTCCATCTATGGAAACATAAGCAGCACCACAGGCATTTGTCAATCAACAGCTGATCTGATCTGACATAGCTCAGCCATTGAGACCTGAGATTCTCTAAAGGGGAAGAAAGGTGACAATTGTGAATAAATATAGAATCATTTCAGGCATGTAAGCCTTCTCAGGAGACTCATCATTCATGGTAGATGGGCAGCATCAATGTCATTGCTTTTTAATTACTCCCTGGGTAGACAGGTGTCACCTGTCATCCTGGAATAACTCTGGAGATTACACACTTCATGGTCTCTCTCCTGACAGTCTCATCTTGCAGAGGCATTCTTGTACTTTTAATGGATTTTTAACATTTCAACTACATTCTCTTCACATCACCTAAAACTAATTACTTACTTCTATTTAGTACTTGTGCTATTAAACTCATTCCCTCTCTGCTTGCCTGCTGTCATCCCCTTCTCTGTAAAGGTTTTTCATTTCAGGTTGTCATCTCTGTGTGTGATTTTTTATAATGACCCTTATACTTACTGATAACATGCTGATTATAGATTATTAGGGACCTATAAAAGACTCAGAGTAAATATAATCTAAGAAAATTATTGTTTAAAAAAGATGAAATTTTCCTGTTCATAATATGAAGGAAATATTACAAGTAATAGACACGTATCTACATTCAGTTTCATGTTAAGGTTTGGGGACAGAAATCCAAGAAATTAGCAATGAACCAATGTTACAATGACAAATTTTGAATAATATCTTGATTATTTCTTTTTTCAAAGTCTAACATCCTAAGTTTCAAGTGTCAATTGGATTCCATTTCATGGGGACAAACAAAGGACACATATTTGTATTCACTTTCTTCTGAACATGTAATTATTATTAAAAGTATAATCATACAACCAAAAGGAAAGAGAAAAGCATCACTAAATAACTGACATCAATGATACCTATAAAACACAGTGGAAGAGGCCACCACATAAAATGTTCTTGGACGGGACTTCAGACTGAAGGAAGGCAGTCTGTCTGGCAGAATTCTGAAGAGGGTTCAATAAGAGAAGCAAGTGTTATGATTGTTAGAAATAAGTGTGGTTGAAGATGAAGGTATTATTGTCTTAAGTCTACATACATGAAAGTCATAGAAATCCCTCCCCATAGATATGACTACTTATCCAAAGACATGCACAATGTTTTTACCATCTAGATCTTTACTACCTAACCAAACAATAAAAAACAATGCCAATAAGCAGGTTCCACTAAGTTAACATTGAATAGACTATCTGAAGACAGTTACAGAAATGTGACTGTTATTAACCCAGAGCAAAACCTTCTTTCAAAGTATCCAATCAGTCAACATCTGATTTTTTCTTCAATGTGATGGGAAAATTATTAACTACCAGATATTTGAGGAGAGACCATAGTTTTAAAAAAAGGAAATAATCATGATAAATACAAAAAATTTGGCTTCAGAGGAAGCAGAAATGTTTCAAGGAACAGAAAATAATTTTAAATATATTAAATTATTGCCCTCAGAAAGTTTCAAGAAATTATTGTATCTATAAAAATACCAACATTCTTTTTATAAAAGAAATATTTTTTAAAAATAAGGAATTTTTGAAAATATACATGGTGATAAAATTAAAAATACATCAATAAAGTATAAAAAGTAAACTCAAGGAAATATGGTAGCACATAAGGCAAAAAGAATAAGAAAGAAAATACAAGATATAAGGTAAACATTTTGTTTTCAATCTAGGAGATGCAATTGTTTATTATGTAATTGCTGAAGAAAAGGTTAATAAACAAAACTGAGTGGATAAAATTGGGAAAGATATGCTTTTTAAGAGTTAAATTGAATTACCATGTCTTCAAGGTAGTTAAAGCAATACTTCATAATTTCCACATCCTTACTGATTTTTGCTTGTTCTATTAATGACTAAAACATTAGAATCTCCTGCTATGATTATTGATTAGTCTCTTTCTCCTTGTAGGTGTATAATTCTAGACTAATTAATTATGTATATGCAGAAAAATTTTTGTATCTTCTTAAAGAAATAAAACATTTTCCAGATGTAGGTGATGGGGGGATGGAGGCAGCAAACCATATGGCCATGTGTGTACCTATGCAACAATCCTGCATGATCTGTACATGTACCCCAGAACCTAAAGTACAATTTTAAAAAATTTTAAAAAAAAAAGAATCAACATTTTAAGAGCCCAAATAGCCAAAGCAATCCCAAGAAAAAAAGAACTATTTATAGGCATTTATGCTAACTTAAGGCTACTATAACTAAAACAGCATGGTACTAGTATAAAAGTAGATACATAGCTCAATGGAACAGAATAGAGAACTCAGAAATAAAGCCAAACAATTAAAACCAACTGATCTTTGAAAAAGCATGCAAAATGGTGCTGGGAAAACTGGATAGCTACATGTAGAAGAATGAAACTGGATCCCTATTTTCACCATATACAAAAATAAACTGCAGCTAGATTAAAGATTTATGTCTAAGCCCTAAAATTATAAGAATTCTGTAAGAAAACCTAGGAAAACTCTTCTGGACATTGGCCTGGGCAAAGAATTTATGTCTAAGATGCCAAAAGCAAATCCACCAAAAACAAAAATAAATAAATGGGACCTAATTAAACTAAAAAGCTTCTGCACAGCAAAAGAAATAATCATCAGAGTAAGCAGATATCCCAAAGAATTGGAGAAAATATTTTTAAAGTATGCATCTGACAAAGAACTAATATTCAGAATTTACAAGAAACTCAAACAAATCAGCAAAAAAAAAACCCCACAAATAATTGCATCAAAGAGTAAGCAAATCACATGAATAGACACTTCTCAAAAGAAGGTATATAAATAGCCAACAAACATATGAAAAAATGCTCAACATCACTAGACATCAGGGAAATGCAAATTAAAACTACAATAAGATATCACCTTACCTCACCCAGATGGCCATTATTAAAAAGTCAAACAACAGATGTTGGCATGAATGTGTGAAAAATGAATGCTTGCTTATACATTGCATAGCAATGTAAATTAATGCAACCTCTGTGAAAAATAGTATAAAGAGTTCTCAAGTAAATAAAAATATATCTACCATTTGAGCCAGCAATCCCACAACTGAATATCTACTCAAAGGAAAAGAAGCCATATCAAAAAGACACCTGTACACATGTTTATTGCAGTACAACTCACACTTGCAGATACGGAACTAATCTAAGTGCCCATCAACCAATAAGTAGATAAAGAAAATGTGGTATATATGCACCTCAGTCATAAAAAGGAATGAAATAATGCTTTTGAAACAACTTAGATGGAGCCATTATTCTAAGTGAAGTAACTCAGGAATCAAAAACCAACAACCATATGTTCTCACTTATAGGTGGGAGCTCAGCTATGGGTATGCAAAGACATACAGAGTGGTATCATGAACATTGGAGACTCAGATGGAAGGAGGGGGGAGGATGGGAGGGGGCTGATAAATAAGAAACTACACATTGGGTACAATATACGATACTCAGGTTATGGGTGTATTAAAATCTCAGACTTCACCATCATACCATTCATCCATGTAACCAAAAATCAATTGTACCCAAAAATCTATTGAAAAAGAAATTTTTTAAGTCAACTTTTAAAACTTTATCTTTTTTCTTTTCTCAACTTTTATTTCAGGTTCAGGCAGTACCTGTGCAGATTGGTTACATGGATAAATTGCATGTCACTGGGATTTGGTGTACGAATGATTTTGTTATACAGGTAGTGAGCATAGTACCTGATAGGCAGTTTTGGACCATCATCCTCCTTACACTTTCCCCATCCAAGTAAACCCCATCTTTTTCCCATCTTTGTATTGATGAGTACTAATCTCTATCCTTTAATTTCTTCTCAATTAATGCTATTTTCCTACTCATTTCACACCGCAACCACTCACTCTCATGGTCATGTTTCTTTTATCAAAAATTATAGGCCGGGCGTGGTAGCTCAAGCCTGTAATCCCAGCACTGTGGGAGGCTGAGGGGGGTGGATCACGAGGTCAAGAGATCGAGACCATCCTGGTCAACATGGTGAAACCCCGTCTCTACTAAAAATACAAAAAATCAGCTGGGCGTGGTGGCACGTGCCTGTAATCCCAGCTACTCAGGAGGCTGAGGCAGGAGAATTGCCTGAACCCAGGAGGCGGAGGTTGCGGTGAGCCGAGATCGCGCCATTGCACTCCAGCCTGGGTAACAAGAGCGAAACTCCGTCTCAAAAAAAAAAAAAATTATATCATATTCTCTATTACTAATCCTTTTAGTTCTCCTATTTAACCGAAATGCAACAACTTTTTTTCTGATCAAGACTTCAATTGATCCTGTTACTTTTTTACTATTCATAACTTCTTCACTACCTAACCTTTCTCTTTAACCAGCTTAAATTTCAAAATTTACTATTTCAATGGATCTTTGCAAACACTTTTAACTTAGATCCATATCTCTCTTTCTCCACCTTCTTTACATTCCATCATCCCACTGCTCACTGAACCCAATAATCTGTTTACTCCACTCCTACATATGACTAATGATTAATGTGAAGAATATTATACTAACCTGTTTACTGGTTTTGCTGTAGGCTTAAGACCACAAATCTCAACCCTACTAAATAATTCCACCATAATCTCTCTTCAAACTTGCAAGACCCACTCTTCACTCACCTGAATTGATAACTTCATTTCAATACTACTAAGAGTAAATAGAAAATATCAAATGGGAATTTTCTCATCTTCCAAACAACAGATGTATCATCAATTCCACATCTGTAACCATTCTCTCTGCCTTTCACTTTCTAATAAAACAAGTACTTTGAATTTATTCCTACTCTTCTCTTCTTAACAGCCTAATTTCCACACTTTTTCCTTCTATCCCTGCCTCACACATTTCTCTGCTCTATTGTAGTATACTTATTAAATAGGCATAATATCTCTCCTTTAGCTAGGGAACACTTTTTCTGCCTCTTTTCCATGGTAAAAATTCTTAAAAGTCTATGGTAACTTTCTCCAAATCTCTATTTTTTCCTAAGCCCATCTCAACTGGATTTTTATCCCCTTCATTCCATGATCAGCAAGGAATTCCTTGTTGCTAAAATCATATTGGTCATTTTTCTGTTCTCATCTTAGTTGAATTTATAAGCAACTTTCAACTTTCATTTATATATTCTTGAGTTTGTTTTTAGGGTGTCCAGGATTTTGAGAAAGTATTTTCTCCTAGATTTTTCCTATAGAATTTTATCTTTCTTAGTCTTTTTGTTCATTATTTTGCCTCAAACTAATTTTTTTAAATTTCAACTTTTATTTCCAATTCTGAGGGTACGTGTATAGGTTTTTTACATGGGTATATTGTGTGATGCTGAGGGTTGGAGTACAAATGATCCCACTGAGGAAGTAGGGTGAGACTTGACTCCAGAGGAAGGCCTTGGACAACTGGACCTGACTGAGGACTGGCTACAACAGGGCAAGGGCAGAAGCAGCCCTTGCCATCAGACATGTCCACCAGTGTGCCATGTCAGTTCACCATTGCTATGGCAACACCCAGGAGTTACCATCCCTTTCCATAACAATGACCTGATAACCCAAAAGTTATTACCCTTTGCCTAGAAATTTCTGCATAAATAGTCCTGTAATCTGCATGGAATTAAAAGTGGGTATTAATACGGCTGCTAATCTGCCCTGAGATGCTATTCTCTGCCTATGGAGTAGCCTTGCTCTGCTAGCGCACTCAGAGCTGTAACACTGCCTCTTCAATAAAGCTGTTTTCTCTACCTCAAGTTTGAAAGTGAAGAATGCTCTCAGGCCAAGCCCCGCTTTGGGGCTTGCCTGTACTGCATCACCAATACTGAGGTGGTGGGCATAGTAATCAACAGTTAGTTTTTCAACCCTTGCCTCCCCCACTACTCCCCTGCTCTAGTAGTCTCTAGTGTCTATTGTTGCCATATTTATTTTCATGAGTACCCAATGTTTGGCTCCCACTTATAAGTCAGAACATGTGGTATTTGGCTTACTGTTCCTGTGTTAATTCACTTAAGATAGTGGCCTATAGCTGCATTCATGTTGCTGCAAAGAACATAATTTTGATTTTTTAATGGCTGCATAGTATTTCATGGTGTAAATGCGCCACATTTTCTTTATCCAATCCACTGTTGGTGGGCACCTAGGTTGATTCCATGTCTTGATTATGATGATAGTGTGGCAGTGAACATGCAAGTGCATGTGTCTTTTTAGAACAAGGAATCATTTTGTTCTAACATCCTCTGCATTTAATCCATCAGCAAATCCCACGGTGTCCACCTCTAAAATACTTTATAATTTGTTCACTTCTCTCTAGGTCCAAAGCTATCATCATAATCTATCAAAAATCACCCTTTTACCAGATCTCTGTAATAGCTGCCTAATTTATCTTCCTGGTTTTATTTTCACCCTCCACCTCACCCTTGAAACAATTCATTCTATACAAAAAGAAAGGACTCTTCAACCTTTCAATCAATACATTCTTTTTTAAAAACCTTTAAATATTTTCTCTAATATTTAAAAGAAAATCCACACTTTATACCTTGTTCTGAATGACACTATGTTCTTGCCATTCCTTCTAACCTCAAATCATACCATCATAACCCTCACATATCATGCTCCAGCCACTCCAACCCACCTTTATCCTCACTATTCTGACAGTGCTTTTCTTCTGTACCCATAGAAGAAAATGGTCACCATTTGTGGATGTCAGTTTTCCCAAGAAATTGACTCTGAGATGGAGATTTGTGTGTACATGGTATATGGGTGGTATTGGGACCAATATCTGTTGAAGTAAAACAAGCAGGAGTATACAGAGAGAGAAGTGGAACTGCAACAGTTGCAGCAAAGGCCTCAAACAAGCCTATGAAGAGCTCTGGAATGAAGGTATCACTGAAGTGGAGCAGGTGGCTTAGTCTTTATCCTTCCATATAAACCAGTCAATCAATACAGGCTGAAATTTGAAAGGAGACAGTCCTTTTCAGCTATGAACATTCTCTAAAGGCTGTCAGCAGGCAAGGCTCCCAGAAGCTAGAAGATAAATGCTTCAGTCCTAATAGAAGGGGCTGCAGGAATGGAGGTGATGCTCCATAGCAACCACTACACCTATCAAATTTTCCTTCCTTCCTAACAGAGGCCATGATGATCATCCTGAATATGAAAATTCCCATATCTTATCTTCATCTGAAAGTACCTTACCTATTTGTTTCTTATATACTTTCTGATTGTACAAGTAGTACATACATGTTAGAAAAACAGAGGTCTTAGCTATCTTATTCATTGCCATTGCCTCAGTACCTAGGAAACTGTCTAGAAGGCAAATCGATAATTTATATGAATGGATGATTTCTTGAATGAATAAGTTCAGTCCCTCAGACAGGCAAAAGATTTTATGTGTTATATACATCCTTCCCCATAGAGATGAGAACACAAAATTAAGTGCACAAAACTCTCATGAGACTGACTTAGATGAGGTGGTTTTGGTATAATGAAAAAAGTCCTGAATTGGGTCCCAAAACTCAAGGCTCCTTTCTACTAAGCAAATAAACATCTAACCTGGCTCAAGTTATATCCCCATGTGAACCTCTATATGATCATTTTTTAAAAATATTCCTTAACTCTGATATGATATGATTCTAAGCAGAAAAAATGGCATAGAGAATATGGATAGAGAACTGCTGACTAAAAGGCAAGAGGATCCTATTATGTAAATATACTATCAATTTTTAAAACCAAGATAAAATTATCTTATAAAACAAGACAATATCACTTTAGGAACAATAAAAGCCCAATGTTATGTACTCTCATTGGGTATAAATATAAATAATGAGAATTTGATCAATTGCTCATTTACTTCAAAAATAATGCTATTTTAGTACTATTAAAACTTAGGGGCCATTTAGGAACAGCTCAGGATTGCAGCTCCCAGTGGAAGTGCAGAGGCTGAGTGCACGCTGCATTTCCAGACGGATTTTTATTGCCCACAGACCAGGAGATTCCCAGGCGGAGGAGCCACATGGGTCGCCAGCATGGCTGTTTTGGCCGGCGCCGGCGATTCGGTCCCGGGGCTATTTTGGCCTGCACGGCTGCTTTGCGGCACCCCGGCACGGCAGTTCTCCGTACAAAATACACTGGCCTGGGTGCTCTTTTAGCAGGCGATTGGAACCCTGGGAAGGTGCAGTCGCCCTTCATTTGTCTAAAAAGGGGTCTGAAACAGAGCCAGGAGATTCCCAGGCAAAAAAAAAAAAAAAAAAAGCCCGACGCCGTTGTTTAAGCCGGCGCAGTGAGTCGCCGATAGGGAAATCACAAAGACCCCAATGCCTTTTCAACAGGTGACTGGAACACCTGGGAGAGAGTCGACCGTTCAACGAAAAACCAAAAGGCTGCGAGGCAGAGAGCCAGGTGATCAGGCTCGGCTGGTCCCACCCCCATAA